GGGGAGAATGACCCAAACATTGTATGCATATATGAATAAAAAAAAGAAAATCTGATGGCTGAGAATGATGGCTTGGATGCTGATAAGGAATCACACCCTAGACTGCTGACATAAAGCAGCATCTTGCTGACCCACACTTCCCTAGAAAATGACCTGTCAATCTGACTATTCAAGGCTAAGCACTCCCTTCCCAACATGTGGGAGGAATTGATGGCACATAACCCAGTCTCCGAAAATTGATGACACATTAACCCAGTTTTCCAGGGCTGACAATGTGTACAGACCTCAGTAAAAGTTTGAGGTCTTGGGATCTCCAACATGGCACTTCTCTTGAGCCTGCCCTCTCTCCTTTCTGGAAAATGCATTTTGCTTTGTTTTTGGTTTGCTTTCCATTAATAAAGCTGTTCCTGTTAAGTCTTTTCTGTGTCTGTCCTTGAATTCCTTCTCTGATGAAATAAGAACCTTCTGGCTCCTAGACACAACCTGAATACAGTGATAGAACCACTGACTTTCACCTGGAATACAGTAGCTTCACTCCATCCATGCTTGCTCAACATTAATCTGTTCTCCATACTACAGTCAAATTAACCTAATTCTTCTCTCTTCCCTGCTCGAAACAAAACAAAACAAACAAAAATAAAACTCTGAATAGCTTACTGCTGTTCTTAAATTGAAGACCAAAGTGACCTAAAAGTTCTTGCACGAATTCCCTCTTCCTACCTTTCCTGCCACACCTCCAACCACTTTCTCTGTTACCAACTGTAGCTCACCTCACTCTACTTTTAATTCTTTATACAATTATTCTTTTTGGTTAGAACTTTCAAACAGGCTTTTTTTTCTCTCTAAGGTATTATCCCTATCCCACCACTCTTTAACTAGTTAACTCCTAACTCATCCTTGAGATCTCAGCTAAAATACTGTTTCTCAAAGAGGCTTTCCCTAAGACCCAAATACATTTTCACAGCACAACTGTAATTTTCCTTTGCAGCACTTATAAATACATAAATAATATTGTGATTTGCATGAATATTTTTAATGGCTCTCCCTCTCACTAATCTGCATGTAAACTGTAAAGAGACTGTGTATATTTAGCATAACATTGTATTTCCCTTGCCTAGAACTCACAAATATTAGCTGAATACTAAAATAAAAAATCAAATCTGGGGTTGGGAGTGTTGGTACACTCCTGTAATCCCAGCTATTTGGGAGGCAGAGATCAGGAGTTTCATGATTTGAGGTTGGCCAGGTAAAAGGTTACCAAGACCCCATCTCAACCAACAAGCCAGGGATAGCAGTTCATACCTGTAACCACAGCTAGCAGGAAGCTGAAGTAGGAGTATTGCTAAGCAAGGCTGGCCCAGACAAAAATGAAAGACCTTACCAGAATCATAACTAAATCAAGAAAGAGCTGAGGGCATAGTTCAAGTGCACCTGCCTAGCAAGTGCAAAGCCCTGAGTTGTAATCCCAGTAGCACCCAAAAAATAAATAAATAAATAAAATCTTCTCCAGGAATTTCACTTGCCACTTTTAATGCAGACATGTGTCTTTAGACCTATGTCTCTGGCATTATTCGTTAACAGTCAAAAAATAAAAACAATCTAAAAGTCCACTCAATGAAGAATGTATTAACAAAATATGGTATTATCCATACAATGGAATATTACTCAACTACTTTAAAAAAATGTGGTACTGATAGATGCTACAACATGTGTAAACCCTGAAAACATTATTCTAAGTGAAAGAAGCAAGACGCAAATGACTATATATTGACTGACTTCACTTAAGTGAAATGTCCTGAATAGGCAAATACAGAGAAAGAAAATGGAGCAGTTGTTGCCAAAGGAGGTTGGGATGGTGAACTGACTTTGCTCCTGAGTACAAGGTTTCCTTTTGGGGGTGAAAAATATGTTTTGAAATTAGATAGTGGTATGAATTTACTAAAATCCACTGAACTGTACATTTAAAAAGGGTAAATTTCAAGTGCAAAGCCAGCCTGAGCTCAAAACCACCCTGTCTCCAAAAAGAAAAAGGTGACTTTTATAGTATAACTCAATTTAAAAAACAAAATAATAATAGAGGAATGAACAGTAGCACAACTAAGAAATGAAGCAGGTGTTGCTTTTTTGACCCACCATTTTCTGTACATTTACTATGTTCCAGACCTGTGCTGGCTGTTAGGAACCCTAAGACGAGTAACATAGTCACTAACTACACTATCCTCAAGCTTCTTTTCCTTAACCTACAAATGTCTTAGTCTCAAGAGTGCAACAGCTTCGAAAAAGAGCAAGTAGTTAAGTCAATCCATGAAAATGTAATATCTATACTATAAACCCTTCCCAACTACCTATACTTTTACCTTGCCCTAAACAAAGGAGAGGGGAGAGAGAAGCTTCTACTATTGAGTATTACATAACTCATTGTTCCCAATGCTGACAATATCATTTTCCAAGAATGATTCAGTAGTTATTTAATTTATCTGAAATATTTTGACTGATATTTTTGATAAACTCTATTACTGATATTACTTTATTACTTCAAATGTTTTACTTTAAATGTATTAAATGTATTACTTCCTCAGAGATTCCTTGATTCCTTATTTTTGATATTTAAAAACCTTATGACAAAAACAAATATCCTAAAAGAAAATGCTTTTTCACACTTTATTGCAATAATCATATGAAAACTCATTTTTCTGTAATAAGAATCAATAACTAAAGAGTGCTCTTAAGTTAAGAAGCCAATTATTTTGGACTTTAATCCCAAATTTTATGAATCAGGGAAAATCTGACTCACTGACAGCTGTCTTATATAAAATAGCTATAAAACTCAAAGTAATATTTAGACAGAAAGTTGGGTTGAATAGTACTTTAAACAGTATAAAAAAGGCATATCACACTTAACACAGGACATTAGTTATTTCTGATTCTTTTAACACATTATTTATGTCAAATTTCCAAAAGGCAAACTAAAATCTCCATTTTTATTACCTTATCTTTGGCCTCAGGCAGTGTGATTTCTCTAGGTTCTAAAAATGATATTTCTCGAAAAGGTGGAACACATCTGACTATATCTGGAACATAGTGCGTATGAAACAATGGTGGCATTGAGTATCTTCGTTCACCTGACAAAGGCACTATCTGGTTTATTACAGTTGGCTCTTGGTGGGGTGAATGGAAACGTTGACGTTTACCATCAAGAGGAAGATTTTTTTCATCGCTTAATCTCCTGAAAACAAACAATATACCTTAGTGATTAAAGACAAAACTTTCTGGCAACAAAAAACAATTAAAATACCTAAGTATCATAACAGATGACAATATTATAACTCTTTCAATAAGGCTACATTCTTACCTCCATACTGAACTTCAAAATACTCATTTCAGTACAAACACTGCCTCTCAACACCTTAGAAAAATAAATAGTAATAATCCATATAGAAAAAAAGTACATGTGTATACTGGCATTTGTCTCCAGTCTCCTACCTCAATGTTTCATCTTTCCAGTGAAAATGTTACAGAAAAATTTCTAGAATGACTAAGAACCAAAGAACCAAATGCCAACATAAGAAGGATAAGATGAGGTAAATTGAGTGCTATACGTAAAAAAGGGTTCTTCAAATATACCTATACTATGTTCTGGCTCATCAGTAAGAAAGACCAAATTAAGAGGTACTTTCATAAAAACAATAAAGACATTAAACAAGAGAGAAAATTTGAAAAGGAACTGCATTTCAGGTAACAGTATTATCATTTCAGGTAATAAATAGTATTGTATTGATATAAATTTCTTGGACATGATCAATGCTTTTGTTATATAGGACAATGTCCTTATTTTTAGAAAGAAAAAGCTAACATATTTTGAAATAACATCAAATGATGTTAGTAACTTTCATAATTAGGAAAAAAATGTAGGGGAAAGAAGAGGTAGAAAGAAGCAAATATAGCAAAACTTTAATTGATGAGTCTAGTAATAAGCACAGAGATATTCTTTGTACTATTATTTAAATTCTTCTGCAAGTTTGAAAATGTCCAAAATAAAAAGTCAAGAAAAAAATAATTAGGGCTTAAGATGTAACTCAGTACTATAGCACTTGTCTAGAATGTATGAGGCCCTGGGTTTGATTCCCAGCACCACAAAAAAGAGAGGGGGGGACAAAAAAAAGAGGATGAAGAAGAAAATAATTAAAAAGTAAATATATGATGGGAAAAATGATATTTACTGCATTGGTATACTAAGTTGTTCACATAGGCAATATTTTATGCCACAGAAAATGGGTGAATTCATTTTAAGCTCCAAATTTGATGGGTCAAAGCCACCCGAAGGCTGAAGGTTTTTATTATGATACTAACCCTGTGGGATTGTGCCAGCTCCCCTCTCTTTGACAGAACCACAAAATAAATGGAATTCCTACCAACAAGTAAAAGTGTACAGTGCTAAACATTTAAGAGTATATTTAATGTTCTTAAACCCAAAAGTAATTTAGATACATATATGCTGAATATCTTCTATTGACAATGCAAATTTTAGTTTTAAAAATATGTGTAACTATGAAATAATGGAACTTATCTTCACTCATGATTCACAAATTGGCTGCCAAGGCAATTTCTAAAAAATAAAAATCTGAATGAAGTCAGAACTTTTAGAATCATTATATAACTTCTCCCCAGAAAACTCTGAAGAACCAGTAGTACTTACTACAAGTCTAGGGTCGAGAAGCAGCTATGCCATTTCTACTTAAAAAACTATTTAACTTCTGTGTGCTTCAGCTTTCTTCTCAACAGGAGAGGAATAACACTGTCTACCTTTTCATAAAGTGTTGCGAAACTTAATCAAATCATGTGAATGACATATTAATTCGTATTTTTAAATAGACATAGCACTTATGAAATGTTTAGACAGGTTTAATAGCATTATCTTACAAATATTGCCAAATGTTATTTTAATATGCATCTCTCAAATTCTATTGTAATTATCTTGTGATACATGAATTTCTTTTAATCAAATAGGTTAAAATTAATTGGCTACTGACTTGACTATAGCAAGCTTTATGTCATGTAGAAATTTTCAATACAGTATTTATCAATCTTACAGTAAACATGGAACGAACAACAAACTTTATTAGAAAGTATCATGAGCTAAACTCTGTCCTCCTGAAACAAAGTTAAAATCTTAAGCCTCAGTGTCTCAAAATGTACTACACTCTGAGATAGGGCATTTAAAAAGACAATTATAAAATATAAAAAGACAATTATAATGAGTTTCTCTACTATGATAAGTGTCCTTAAAAAAGGAGTTTAGGACATAAAAATCACAAAGGGATGAACATGAGGACACTGTAGACGGTAGTCATCTACAGGCCAAGGAGAGAGGCCTCAAAAGACACCAACCTTTCTGACACAATAATGTGGACTTCTTCGAGCTCCAAAATTGAGAGAAAATAAATTTCTGTAGTTGATGCCACCACGTACCAGTTTACAGTACTTTGCTGTGGCAGTCCTAGCAAACAGACATAGGTGGCCATCTGATTTGGCTAAAAATGTCAATTAAAAAGTAATTTTCTAAAGAAACACAGCTTCATTCCATCTAAAACTTATACAGGAATAAATCAATGAAAGAATCACTAAAAAAATTTTAGTGATTAAATT